GGTGTGGGAGGGGTTTGAAGGAGAAAGGAAAGGGGGAAGTAATGTAATCCTATTTTAATTAAAATGTGTTATATATTATTTATTTTATGCATATATACGTTGTTATCCATATATAACCTATGAATTAGATTAAGTTAAATACTACCAAATCATCTTTCAACTATAAAAAAATAGAAACAAAGGCTAAAGGGTCGATCATTTCTCTAAAATGAAAGGAAGAAAATATTTAAAATGAGGCTGAGGAGCTCAGTTTTGAAAAGATATTTATATTTACATTGATAAGCTAGCGGAAATGAACCTGCTGCCAGCTGGCAAACCTAAGAATTCTGTAAGAGGAGCAAGTTTTAGTGTTCCAACTTTACATGGCTGTGAAATAAATTAGCAGTTCAATCTGTAATCCAGAAACAGCACTGGGAAGACATTATAAAAGTGCATCCTTCCATGTGCTTTTAAAAATACTCATGAAAACTAAGATGAAATATCTAATTGGTTACTAGCCTATACTTCATTTAATATCATATCAACAAACTATAAATACATTTACAACATAAGCAGGTGCTGGGAATAACGGATCTGTGCTAGAGACTGTGTGAGGCTCCAGGTTCACTCCTTAGTACTATCCATACCCACAAAGTTACATCCTAAAAACTCTCAACTTTACAGCAAGGAGGTCATGATGACCACAGATGAAAATTATGCTTACCACAGCCAGAGTAAATACTGAAATTACACACCCTTCTTTTCCTTCTGGTATTGAAATTTAGAGTGGTTTTTCCCTTTTTTCACATTTTCTTTGTCCTATTGCTTTGTTTACATGCACTCTTTTCATAATAAAAATTCATTATTTTCCATATCTGTATTATACATTCCATCTCCAGGAACAAACGTCCCGAAATCACTAACCACAGGATGAGCCCATCTTCACTGCAGTGAACAATGTTGGCTCAGACTTCCTGCTTGTGAGGATCCTGGAGCAAAACCATAATATAGAATTCAGAGTGCAGCGCTGTGAACCCTTCACTGCCGACTCAAAAGATTATTTTCTTTGAATTTAATCTGAGAAGATGCCACTGCCCAGGTCAGCAGGGGGGCAGCTCCCTGAGGATTTCAACTCTGTCATGGCCATAAGACTTTGTGTGTGTACAATGTCAAATTTAATAAAAATGGTTCAGACTGGGTGCAAATGTCACACTAACTGTGAGACAGAATGCAAGCGTGGTTTTGGATGTCGGCGGCAGGCAAGGACGGATACTGTGAATGAAGGATACGAAAGCAGCTGCTGTGCCGTGCATTATGTCCCCCCCTCCCAGCAGCATTTAAACTCCATCAGGATTGGCTGCGGAGAATATGGTTTTCTTCATTTATACTCTAAAAGGATGAATTCTGCCAACAAGCAAACAGCGAACACATGTGGTCCTGCAAACATACCCAGACTAACTTACAGATATGTCAAACTCAGACACATGAAAGTCAGTATTGACTGTTGAGATTTTTTTTTTTTGTCTTTAGAAACGGATTTGACTATACATAATTAGCATAGCCTTACCCATTTCCTTTAATTGCTGTTACCTTTCAAAAGCAATCTCACAATCAAACTTGAAGAATTTGGGACTCAAATTCTCAAACTGATACATCGTTTCCTTTCATTATGATTGTTATGCAACACACACACACACACACACACACACGCACACACACACGCACACACACACACACAGCCCTTTAGAAGTTTGTTTTCTCCTATGCTACCCCAAGGAAATGTTTCAGTAGGTGATGGGCATATTGTGGATACTGCACATGCATCAAGGATGCGGGGGTCTGGTTCTTAGTTCCTTGTCATATCTCTGATTACCTGGTGGTTTATGGTGTGAGATGATTTGTAATCGCAGAGTTTTCGCGGGCTCTATCTGGCCCTTTACATAATGTCATGGCATCTCAGTGGTGCATGTCCTTGCATCTGCTCTTGGACTACTTACTCATGGCAGTTCCTTGGTCTTGATCATGTACCTCCACCAGAAATGGTGGGATCTCCGGCAGTTCCTCTAGTCCTCAGTGGGTATGTGCACCCCCTACCCCACACACTAGAGTTCTTACCCAGCCTCCAGGGTCTACAGAGTGGAGGGGAGGCAATTGCTTTCTTCTGCAAGCAGCTCCACAACATGGCTTAGCTACTGTGCTGAGTGAAGACGGCCTCATTGCCCAGCTGGCAGCTCATGTCCTCCCATGGCAGTCCTTTGCCTTTCCCATGCTCCTTCCCTTCCTCGATTAGGGCAAGTGAATACAACAACATAGTCAAGTGACTGACAGACGCTCCTGCAGAGATTTGGCAACACACAACTCAGAACTACTGTGCTGTGCTGTCAGAGGGTGTGTGTATCTTCAGAAGAGAGATGAAAAAAAGATTAAAATTGTCAACGAAGAATTTTCAATAAAGCCTGCATAGGCACTGAGGACTGTGCTTGTGAGTTCATCATCTTGGGACCGGAGAAGCAAGCTCTGCTTTTCTCAATAAAATCTGATTAAAATGCACCTATAACTGTTCGCTCAAATGTCCGTGACTGCTTGTTTCTTTGTGCTAAAGTGGCAGGGACAGAGACTACATCTGTCAAAAAAGACAAAAATATTTACATTGGCCCTTGTATAGTCTTCTCATGGCTGCAGGTACATATATGACATGTATAAATATATATGCATGCTGTAGGTATATGAACATGGCTACTTATAACAGACTTAAGACTGTGTTTATTAAATTATATTTTAAAGTATGTATGACTGGTTATATCTATGTCTGTCTATCATCTCTCTGTGTAGTTGAATACCCACCTATGTTCTACAGGTCTCATAGAGGACACAAGACATAAGCTTATTCCTTTTTATTAAAAGTATAGGGATGCAATTGGCTAAAAATTCACAAAATAATTACACGAGTCTTTGCCATTATGTGTTCATCATAGTAAGTTGGCCCAAATAACTTTTTTCTGAAGTCCTGATCTTTCCCTTAATAACTCCCTAAGTATGGTGATAAAATGTTTATAAATGCTCACAAGTACTGAAGGATGGCATCAGTGATGCTCTGGCCTTCAATGAAAGTCAGGAAGACCCCATCTGCCACTGGGCTTGGGAGGGAAAGCAAACAAGGCAGGGACTGTCCTGGGGTCTGAATAAAAGCAGTAGAAACACTACTGCATAAAGTCTTTCAGAGTCTGGTTACATCTGGGAGATTCTACTTTCATAAAAAAAAGTCATGTTTTAAGAATTTTTATAGTGTCTATTTAAATTACATATGTGTGTGCTCACATGTACACATGTATGATTGTACACACAAATTTGTGTGTGGAAGTCAGAACACTTATATATTATATACTTATATATTAGTATGTGAATAGATTTCTCTGTGTTGTGAAATGCCTTCATTGTCTGTTTTCTGTGCCTTTGGTTATTTCCTTGGGGATTTGGGGACCAAACTAGACGGAGTTCCTAAGATGTAGCATAGGGGTTAGGGCTAGCCATCACCTCTTACATCTGCTCACTGGGAAAATCTTTGTGCTTCTTAGCTGAGTGATGGGCCAGGTCCTGTCTGGTACTCTGCTGCTAGGCTGTCTCTCCAGCATATGTGGCTGGGTCTTCCATAGTCTGTGGAGATGCCTGGCCATGCCCCAGTTTCCCTTGGCCTGAGTCCATTTTTATTATCTGATTTCTGTGCTCTGGTTTTCTTCAACCAGTCACCCTAAGCACCCATCTACTTGTCTTTCCTTCAGTTGTTGTTTCTAGACCCACACCAGTTTCTTTAAATCCAAAACCCTTCATAACTTTTCCTAAATGTCAGTTTCTGTTAGCACTTCTTTTTGATAAAGAATAGTGGTGTATTTATCCCTACTCTAACCGATTTACCACCACCGTAGCTACCCTTCTGTGGTGCCATTTCTGGCATAAGTCAATCTGGAATCTCTGGAGACAGCAGAGTCTACTAAAAGGCCCAATATCACTAGTCAAAGGTATCCAGCTGTTGACATGAAACAGGAACCCAAGCACAGGACATTTTACTCTCTACTGTATGTTTCAGCAATTATAAAATTATTAAACTATGAAAACATTCACAATCATTTGAGATTTTAGACCTTCAATGTGTTTCATATGATACAGTATTCTGCATCTAGTCATTACATCCCTGTTTAAAAGGCAAAGTATCAGATTATCTAATTAGTCATGGTTCAGAGATGCTCTTACAAACCAATGAACTCACAGATCCTCCTGTGTTAGTATAGAAATTGATTTGATTTCATTGGAAAAAGTGCTTTCCATTAATGTATTTTACCAGTTATCTTAAATGCTTTTAGAGCAACAAGTGTTTAAAAGTCTTGCTAATTTACATAGTCCATAGACAAGGCTACTCTTCCTTAATTCCAATAGGAACAAACAACGAGGAATCCCAAACAGATGAGGTAAAGACATGAGTCAGAGCTTGTGGTATTGGTTTGCTATAAAGCTTCGCATGAGAAATGCAACTCAAGATACAAAATAGTTGGCCAAGCAGTGGTGGCTCATTCCTCTAATCCCAAAACTCAGGAGGCAGAGGCAGGTGAATCTCTGTGAGTTTGAGGCCAGCCTGATCTACAAGAGCTGGGCTGGCCTTCAAGCTCCTGTGATCCTCTGTCTCTGTCTCCCCAGTACTGCAACTACAAATTTGTGCTGCCTGCTTTTGATCCGGCCACTGGGGAGTACATGCAGATTCCATGCTTTCACAGGAAGCACTTGAGCTATCTCCTAACACACATAATTTAAAACTTTGCGTGATCCCTATTGGAAAAGGTAAAACTGAAAGCAAAAACGCAGTTGAGGTCAGCTTTAACATCAGGTGTGTGAGGTCTTGTATGTGTTCATAACTCAGTGTAACCATTCCTCAATTTGTGTGCTTCAAAAACGTAACATACTAAATATTTATGTTATATAACTTTAGCTAAAACCAAAAAGGAGTGTGAGAGATGGTTCATTTCTCTTACCTACACAAGTCTTCTTTTATGTTCAGGGCAATCAGCTCCTTGGGGATATGGAAGGAAAGAACGCTTTCCGACATCTGCTCGCGGATCCGCATCCACTTGTTGTCGGCAGTGGGGAATCTATATAGCTTACACACAGGGTTCCTTAACACTGGCCGGGAAGAAAGAAGGGCAGGAGTTAAATCAAAAGCAAATGGATATCACGAGAAGCTCGGTAAAGAAAATCATCAATTAGGGCAACGTTTCGCTTATCCATTTAATAAGCAAAATCCTGCTTATTGGAATCCATTAGTGAACTTGAATTTTTAAAAATATTTTTTACATCATATTTTGGTGTTAGCATCTGGAACTCATATCTGAAAATTTAATTAGTAAATGCAGCAGTGTTGACTCTTCCCCACCTATTCTTTTCTTTGTCTTTAAATATTTTATAAAACATACACACCTATAAATATAGTTAAAATTATATTTTTATATATTATATATATACTTATATGTACATATATGTAAAATACACTTTGGAGAACGTTTATAAACATTCTCTGATCACTCTTAGCTTTATGTACTCAAGTAAGTAACAATATACATGCTATTTCCTAAATACTTGAAATTCTTTCCAAAGGCCCTACTAGTTAAAATTTTTATATGTCAGAAAGGTTTATTTTTTTGTCCTAAGAGTTATAAAATAAATATTTTACATATCTTTCAACCACACACTTTCCTGTCTTATCAGAAGTAAGTCTTTGGCATTGGGAAAGCATGCTATTTGGAGTAGGTGGCCAGGGTTTAAAGAGTAACTGTGTCATGCAACCCAAGATTCAGGAGCAGAGGGAAAGGTCACATATTAACCTTATACGTGATCTTCTTCGGGAATCCCAAAATCACAACACACTCCCAAATCACACATTTCAGGACAGAATGCTCTTGCACTTCTGTTGGGCGATTACACCCATTGTAACACTTAGACACCAAGGCTTAAATGACAGAACAATGTCAGATGTCACCAGTTTCTATCTAGAGAGAGTCAGCTCCAGTTTACCAATACAGCCAGTTAAGACTATTAGTTGACACCGACGTGAATCTATCAAATTATAAGCAATTCCGAGCATAACACATGGATCAGGTCCCCTCAGTGTAAGATGGACAAGGCCTTACACACCTTAACCGTATCTCATTTGTTGTTTGAGTAAAGATGAAACGCCTTTCCTGAACTTGGAAATGAGAAAATGTACACCCATCCTTCTGTAAGCACCTCAAAGAAAGACTCTCAACAACAGTATCCTTATGCATATATATGTGTGTATATGTATGCATTATGTGTGTATAGAGTGTATGTATAGAGTGTGTGTGTATATATATGTATATATGGAGAGAAGCCTTGATTCTAAATGCCATTCTTTATTTTGGTGCATGTTTATGTATATATGTGAACATGGGATATGTACATGTATTACATGCACATGTGTGGGCACGTGCTCTCAGAGGACAGAGGGACATCAGCCATTGTTTTATCACCCACTGCCTTAGTGGGAGAGAAGCTAAGCTGAGAGGATGCAAGTCCCCACCCATCTTCCTATCTCTTCTCCCGCTGCCCAGTTCTGGAGTTTTCCATGCAGAGACAGGGCTGTATCTGGCCTTGTATGTGAATGCTGGGATCTGACTCAGCTCCCATGCTAGCACAGTGAGCACCGTCATCCACAGGCATAGCTCTAAAGTCTCCCAATGCCTCATTCTCAAGACAGCAAATTCAAGTCTTCTTAGATATTTCTATACCCTGACCAAGAATTAGACAGAAGGTTTATCTTCTACAGAACTGACAAAAGCATGAAGCAGCAGAAGCTTTTAAGGATAATGAGAGAAAATAATTTAACATCTAGGAATAACTTATGCTCAAAAAGATCATATTTTTTACATTTTATGATTATTTTACATTTTATCCACTTGATCACATCACAAAACTTATGAAGAGTTTACTATATTTTTCTAAGAGTTGGAGAAGAGGGGAGGGAGAGGAGGAGAAGAGGAGAGAAGAAGAGGGGAGGGAAGAGGAGAGGGGAGGGGAGGGGGAGAAAAGAAGAGGGGAGGGCAGGGGAAAGGAGGTAAAGAGATGGGAGGAGATGAGAGGTGAGGAGAGGAGTGGAAAAGGGAGGAGATGGGAGGAGAGAGAGGTGGAGACGGAAGGGAGGAGAGGAAGAGAGGGGAGAGGGAGAGGAGAGGGGAGGGATGAGGAGAGGAGAAAAGAGGAAGGAGAGGAGAACAAAGAAAAAGCATGTATTGAATTCAAGAAGATGCCCTCAGGTTAACTTGTATCTGGCAAGAGCTAATCAAGTCACATAAGCTTGCTGAGTTTGGAAACCCAATACTCTTTTTGTGGTAAAACAAAACCTCAATACTTAAAATATCTAAAATATTTCTTACTAATGTATGAAAATATGAATCACTTAGTTATTCTGTAGGCACTCCTTAAACTCCCTTTTCAGAGTTACAAAGCCTCTTTCTGTCTCTCAAAGCACTTATAAGGGTCTTTGGCTATTTCTTGCCCTTTAAAGATTAGTAATTATTTTTTCATGAAATTTAGATTTTGAGTTTTGTCAGAAAACATAAAGCTCTCCGTTGTTTTTGTCAAGCCCCAAACAAGTCCTTCACCTTTTGATTTTTTTGTTTGCTTTTCATTTTAATGATCTCCATGTTTTCTAATATAACCCTGTGTTGTTGAAATTTTTTAAAGCAGAAAACAAGGACAATTTGATTAATGACCAGGAGAGAAACTCTCCTCTGACCACTATGACACAGCACCCACAGACACAGCTGCTGCCTCTGACCACAAGAAACAGCATCCACAGACAGAGCCCAGCTGCTGCCCCTGACCACCATGACACAGCATCTACACAGCACAGAGCTGCTGCCTCTGACCACAAGACACAGCATCCACAGACACAGCTGCTGCCTCTGACCACTGTGACACAGCATCCACACAGCACACAGCTGCTGCCCCTGACCACAAGACACAGCATCCACAGACACAGCTGCTGCCCCTGACCATAAGACACAGCATCCACAGACACAGCTGCTGCCTCTGACCACCATGACACAGCATCCACACAGCACAGAGCTGCTGCCCCTGACCACAAGACACAGCATCCACAGACACAGCTGCTGCCTCTGACCACTGTGACACAGCATCCACACAGCACACAGCTGCTGCCCCTGACCACAAGACACAGCATCCACAGACACAGCTGCTGCCTCTGACCACTGTGACACAGCATCCACACAGCACACAGCTGCTGCCCCTGACCACAAGACACAGCATCCACAGACACAGCTGCTGCCTCTGACCACTGTGACACAGCATCCACAGACACAGCTGCTGCCCCTGACCACAAGACACAGCATCCACAGACAGAGCAGAGCTGCTGCTGGTCTTGGAGGAAATTGAGAAGAATGCCAGTAAAGTACACACACACATGCATGCACACATACACACACACACACACAAACACATGCATGCACACACACACACAAACACATGCATGCACACATGCACACACAAACACATGCATGCACACATACACACACAAACACATGCATGCACACATACACACACAAACACATGCATGCACATATACACAAACACACACACAAACACATATACACATACAACACATACACAAAAATGTACATAACACACACACAGCAATACACATCCACACAAATACATAACACACTCACACACAAAGACATACACACAAACACATGTACAGCGCACACATACAACACACACAGTCACACACTTCTGGTAAGTTAATCACGAAAGAAAACCACTCCATGAATATTTCCTATGTAGCTTTTACATTATAGATGCTGATATTCGAGTACCAAACTGAATATGTCTGTCAGTCTCAGAGTAACTATGGGATGTGCTGTTTTGCCTCTGAAATGACTCTTAAAATCTGTGTGTTAAAGGCTCAGCTGCCAGTCTTAGCTCTGAGGAGGAATGGCGGCAGAACCATTGGCGGTACCTCCTAGAAACAACAGACCTCACTCCCTCACTCTCTCTGCTTTCAGCTACAATGAGGAGACCTGCCTTGCTCTATCACATACTCCTTGCTACCATGTCTGCCTTGCCACAGGCACGATGGCACTGAAACCACCTGGCCGTGCCACAATAAACCTCTGTGCCAGAGACTCAGGGATTTGTCACAGTGAGGGAAAGCTGGCTGATGGGATCCTCTTCGAAACTCAATTTAGTTCACCAGGTTTCCTTTATGAACTGGGTCCCAGGCAAGGATACTTCTTCTGTATCATAAAATACCATAGAATGAAGCGTGTGTTTAAAAATGAAAAAAAAAAAATATGGCCTGATCTTTAACCATCATGAAAATACTCTGGGCAATTGAAAAAAAAATACAGATAAGATTATCTCAACTCGAGCTTTTGCTGTGCCAATAATGGCAGGGTTTCACATCCTCACATAAAAGAGAGCTGTCAGAATCATGCATCAAACACTGAGTAATAGACCCCAATGCCGAGTGTGTCTGCCAACTCCTTTTCCAGCCAATCCACACATACACACACTCCAGCTGTGTAAGTGAATGTGTGACTGAGACCTTGAACTCTGAAGCTACATTATGCCTCTTGTTTAGTCTTTTCTGACTGTGCAACTGGCTTACTGCCTTAATAATAGCTGTGCAGAATATTACTAACAGCTCAAAGATTTATTTATTTTTGTCTCTATGTGTGAATGTGCTTGTCTGTGTGTTGCAGATTATTTAACAATGCAAATATATGTTGCATTTGTTTATGTTGCACAATACTTGTTTAACTGTGTAAAGATGTGTTGCTCTTTACCTTGCCTGAAGCACCAGATAGGTCTAATAAATAGCTAAATGGCCAATAGAAAAGGAGGAAGTATAAGCAGGACTTCCAGGAAGGGAGAATAAATAGGAGAGGGAATCTAGACTCAAAGGAGAAAGAGAAGAAAGAAAAGAGACACTCAGGAGATGCCAGGGCCAGCCAGCCAGACACAGAAGAAGCAGAAGAGCAGAATATACAGAATGAGAGAAAAGTAGAAAGCCCCAAAACAAAATGTAGATGAAGAGAAACAGGTTAAATTTGCAGGGAGCCAGTAGTACAGCCACCATTACAAGA